AAATATTTTATACTTACAAAAGAACGATTTTATCCGCTCAATTTTTGATTCCTTTACAGAAGCCAAATCATTTCCCTCATTATAAGAATCTGATTTTAAGGCATGGATTAATTCTAAATCAATCGTTCTATTTATTTTGTTCATAATTTTTTCCACTTGAGGTGTGTACTTCCCAAATATTTTCCATTTAATGCTATTCTTGTTGAAACCTTCACACATTAATGACTCATAATGTTCTTCAATGCTCTCTTCGTCCAACTCTAACAAATGGGCAATGTTTTTTCTCGAGTATCCATGATTTTCCTTAGTTGCTATTTCTTCTTTACTTAGCAATCTACTGGGCTTCCAAATTAGCCACTCACAGATGTGATTTTCCTTTGGACTCCATATTTCAACAGTGGCCACTGACTAAAGATGTTAGAACACGAAATCAAAATATGTACAATGGTATGAATTAAATGGTGGAGAGAATAAATTTCACCAGAAGAAAGAAATTCGGGGGGTAAAATGAAACAACGAAAAACGCACGGAAAACAAAAAGCTAACAAAACAGGTGTAAAACATAAGCGTAGAGCAAAAATTGAGTGAACGAAAAAAAAAAAGGAAAAAAAAAACCAAACACACTAGTAAGGAATATCATTTTTTTTTCTTACACTGTTGTAGTGGAATATCCATAATAAGACAGTAACGATAGAAATTTCACTAAAAAATAGGAATCCCTTTAATTTGGGCGAGAGGTGACATTTTGTAAAAATTGCTAAGGCTTTAATAAAAAATCTTCTAACTATGTTCTTACAATGTATATTGAATTCAACAGATCTGCTACAATTTGTATCAAACTTCTTCATAATTATTTTTTATTTGATCAAATTAGCAATATTTACAGTTCATTATTAATTAACATAAATATTATTGCTGTGTACGGAAAAGGAAATATCTTTAAAAAAATATTTTGCTAAATATGTTTACTAAATAACCATATTATACTAATACAATCATCATAATGGACATTGTTCAGGCATATTAATTTAATATACGTCAAAAACATGAATGTGATTAATTGCATCAGATATTTCATTGTGTCTCCTTAATAAACAGATTAACAAAAATGTACGCTAAGTTTAAATAGAAATGTACGTATACATATACAATACATACGTACATATACGCGAATGAATATATCGTTACATAGATGTATGTTCCATATATGTAAAGCTCACATATTTATCACACTACATATCAAACATAAAAGATATTCGTGAATGTAATTATAAAACAAACATTACAGCTGAAAGAAGAATAAAATATATATATTGTTAATCCAAAAAAGAACTAACTTTATATTTAATAAAAAATCCATTAAAAATGGTAAGCATTCCTTTACTACCCGCTGTTCTTCATAGAATTGCGTCATCGAACATAACATGCATTGCCACATATATAACAAGAGTCACTGGAAACATGATTTACATCCATGTATGTATAGTCACTGCATAGATATTGCCTCAAAATATATTTGCTTCATATAAGAAGTGGTTCCTTTATGCAGCTAGGAAGATCACCCCCAGGCATAGATAGCAGGAAATGAACTATCACAGGCAACATTACCTATATGACGTAAAATGTAATAATTACGAATTTTCACAAATAAAAGGAATAATATGAGTTCTATTCCCCTTTTAGATATGTTAAATGAAAAACATTCACTACGCTGTTTTTCAATTACTAATAGGCTCATAATCAGCAGAGGAAATAAAAGATTATCATGGTAAAGAGGCTCTATATATATTATTTCTTCATACATGCAATTCGTTTTTTTTTTTTAAAACCTAGAAAAATGATTATTTCAACAAGGAGGCGACAAATTAGGGCTAGAAAAAGCAAACGAATCTTACAGAAATTTTTCTACAATAAAGCAAGAATATAAACTATATATATGATAAAGTGTTAATTTAATCTATTTGTAAGCAATCAAAGGGTTTCAACGGCAATCCAAATTTTACAAAAATAAATAAATAAAGAAGGATTTAGGCCGACTGACAAAAATAGGGGAGAGGAAAATAACATTCGCACATAAAGTAGGAAAATAAAGTTTTTTTTTATGCATTGTACGAGATTCGTACCCATTAATCATTTTTTTTTTTTTTTGTAACATTTTGGTAAAGGTTAATGTTAAATATCCTAGATTTATTTTTTTCCAATAAGTTGCCATTTTTAAAATATAAGAGTGGTTCCAATTTTGCTTTGTCTTCGCAATTAGTTATTGTTAATAAATAGTTATAAGTTCATCTATATTTTATATTTTTAAGCAGAAAAAATTAAAACCGTTTGCATACAAGTAAGGCATTATTTCCTAATCGCACAGATGGTTGCTGAGGATCAGTATAATATTCTGAAGTGGCCATTCCAAATATGCAAGTGATAAATTATGCTTCTTTGTTAAAATTCTACATTTTGGTCGACAATCTCCATTTAAAAAAAAAAAATAATAATAATAAAAGGAAAGGATGCATTCCATTTGTTATTGCACTGGTGACTGTTATTACGATTAAAAAAGGAATCGATATCAAACGGAGATTGAACGGGGATTCAACAGGATTAAATTGGGATTAAATCAATGTCTTGGATGACGCTGAATTTTAGTTTTGCTTTTCCCAAGAATGTCCTAACGTTATTAACACCACGCATGCAGATAGAAGTAATCGCGCAAAACTCTTAATCCTGTAATTATGGATTATTAATTTGAACTTAATTCAAGCACTGCACCGGGATAAATTATTTATTACCTATAAAGACAACTTGCTAAGGGACGGAATTTCTAATAATGTACGCAAGTTACAACTCAGGACAAGGAATACACTTGAAGGGAAAAAACCCATCTTTTTGTGTCCTCTTCTGATTGTCCAGATTATAACAATGAAAAATTCTTTAACAAGTTCCTTCTTCATCATTACACAATGTTAACATAATTTTTTAACAATTTTTTTATCCTTCATCTTTATGGAAGTTCATCTGCTCAACTTTCATGGGATAAGCTAAAACTTAGAACTACAAAATAAGGAAAATTGGAAAAAAAAAATACTCAAAAACATTAGATATAAAAAATGTCCTCTCCTGTGATCTCTTTTTCTGTTAAAAAATATCTTATTGTGACGAGTAATGATACTTTGAAATGTCGTTATTTTGATTAAAATAATTAGGAAAAAGCAAATGCCTTCCGAAAAACATTACCCTTGGAAGGACATTAAAATGTATCGGCACTCTATAAATCATTTAACGTGATACAGCTGCGCATTTTAACTTTAATCTTGCACAACACACTGTTCGTGCAATGGTTAATTACGACAAGGAAAAATTTTTATCCTTTAGACCGTTTTTCTCCTTTTATGTTGTTTTACACAAGATTGTACGTCGTTCCTTCGTCACATCTAACTTACAAGGAACGATCTATACAATGTTCCCAATAATTACAGAATTGTGGCTATTCGTACACGCCCCTTTTTCACACATTAACATAAACAATTTTAAAGTACTGAAGAAAATACAGAAGACTACATTCTTCGAAGTTTGCGCATTTGATTTAGCCCTTTTATTTTGCTTCATTTTACATATTTCGTTTCTTAACTTGCAAATAACAAAATATAGAAATTCTTTTCTTTAACTAACATGCATTTCAAGTTAAAGCATGCTTAAAACGTTCAACCGTCATGGGGAATAAAACTAAAAATAGGACATTCCTTTGCATATCTTTAAATTTTAATTATATTCTATTACCCATAATTTACTTACACTAAATTATAAATACCAAACATTAATGGGACCACGCAACATGTAACGTGTGTTATCAGCACATACATGTACAAAAATTAAAAAAATGATAAGTGCCTATAGGCACAAACTGCATATGGTTAATACAAGTAAAAAATACATAAAATGAAAACTTGTATGAACCAATGGAACAACGCGTTCCGTTAAAAATTAATAATAAGATGTACACATAATCAAACGCGTTAATGAAATAATAATTTTCTAATCCCATAGAGGTCTTAAGTGAATATATTCTTTGCCTAAATTATTCTAATTGCTATGAGCAAAAAAAATATAGCATATAAGGCAAACGTCTTTAAGTGAATTATTCCTTTAGGTAAAAAACCATATAGGATAGTATTTTTTGTCCTCAAGGAATTCATCCATTTGATCATTCTTCCATTCTTTTATTCATCAAAGAAAAAAATGTATCCATTGAAGCGCACATTCATATTCCATTATTATGTTACCACGGTATATATAATATATTATAAAGAGAAAAACAAAGTTCCATTAAAGCATCTTTGTTAGACGATATAATATATTATTATATGTAAATAATCTGGTAGACATACAATTGTTCTAATTATGGATATGAACTTCATGTCGATAGTATTCTAAATGCCTTGAAATGTTCATAATCAAATTTTGTTGTTTTTTTTTTTTGCACATTTTTGTATTTTCCTTTCTTCTTTTTTTTTTAATTTTTACTTGGCTTTCCAGAACCTTTTTTAGCATCATAAGTTCTGTTTGGGTTTACCACCCTTATTCTTTGTATTATCCTTTGAATTTTTTTATGGGTCAGAAGCTGCTTTGGAATCATCGGTTGGATTGCCACCTTGACTGTTTATAGACTCGGTACTCATTCTAAAATTTAGACTTCTTCTAGCCTGTTTTTCTGTCTTTCTAGCTTGCTCTAACTTTTCGGCTTCTTCTTTTGCTTTCTTAGCTTCTTTTTCTGCCTTTTTAGCTTCTCCCATTGCCTTTTTAGCTTCTCCTTTTGCCTTTTTAGCTTGTTCTCTTACCTTTCTTGCTTCCTCCTTTGCCTTTTTAGCTTCTTCTTTTGCCTTTGTAGCTTCTTCTTCTGGCTTTTTGGCTTCTTCTTTTGCCTTTTTAGCTTCTTCCTCTGCCTTTTCAGCTTCTTCTTCTGCTTTTTTGATTTCTTCTTTTGCCTTTTTAGCCTTTTCTTCTGCCTTCTTAGCTTGTTCTTCTGCTTTTTTGATTTCTTCTTTTGCCTTTTTAGCTTCTTCTTCTGCCTTCTTAGCTTCTTCTTTTGCCTTTCTAGCTTCTTCTTCTGCTTTTTTAGCTTGTTCTTCTGCCTTCTTGGCTTTCTGTCCTGCCTTCTTGGCTTTCTCTTCTGCTTTCTTAGCTTGTTCTTCTGCTTTTTTGGCTTTTTCCTCTACCTTCTTAGCTTGTTCTTCTGCTTTTTTGGCTTCTTCCTCTGCTTTTTTAGCTTCGTCTAACTTCTTAGCTTCCTCTAACTTTTTGGCTTCCTCTAACTTTTTGGCTTCCTCTAACTTTTTGGCTTCCTCTAACTTCTTAGCTTCTTCTAACTTCTTAGCTTCTTCTAACTTCTTAGCTTCCTCTAACGTTGTGTCTTCCTCTAACTTGTTAGCTTCTTCTAACTTCTTAGCTTCCTCTAACGTTTTGTCTTCCTCTAACTTTTTGGCTTCCTCTTCTTCTTCTTTATCTTCCTCTAACTTTTTGATTTCTTCTTTTGCTTTTTTAGCTTTTTCTTCTGCCCTCTTAGCTTCTTCTTTCGCCTTTTTAGCATTTCCTTCTGCCCATTTAGCTTGTCCCTTTGCCCTTTCAGCTCCTTCTTTTGCCTTTTTAGCATTTGCTTCTGCTTTCTTAGCTTCTTCTTTTGCCTTTTTAGCTTCTTTTTCTGCCTTTTTATATTCCTCTTCTGCCTTCTTAGCTTTTTCTTCTTCCCTCTTTGCTTGTTCTTCTACCTTCTTAGCTTCCTCTTCTGCCTTCTTAGCTTGTTCTTCTGCCTTTTCAGCTTGCTCTAACTTTTCGGCTTCTCCTTTTGCTTTCTTAGCTTCTTTTTCTGCCTTTTTAGCTTCTCCCTTTGCCTTTTTAGCTTCTCCTTTTGCCTTTTTAGCTTGTTCTCTTACCTTTCTTGCTTCCTCCTTTGCCTTTTTAGCTTCTTCTTTTGCCTTTGTA